ACACATGTATATTCTTTTTGAAATTTTGTGAGTCACGTGGACTAAAAGTAGTCTAGTCCCATTTTATTTATCTCCTTTACTGAAAGGTATTTTATTTAGATAATTTATACTTTCAAAAATAAAGAAAAATCCTTACTGAATAAAAACACCCAGATGAGAGTTTTCATTACTTTCGCCTGTATTTTTAAAAGTATTTTCTTATCTTATTATTTTTTATGAATTTTTTGTTGGAACATGAGTAAATTTCCAAGGCACTCTCCTCAGCAAAATAAAAATCATCCGATTGTTCCTGAACTGTAAATAATTGAGTGCATACTATTGAACGTGTTCCGCCAATTATATTAAAGAAATGTAACATATTCCACACGTTAACATATGAAGTATGTTTTTTCAATTCCTTCTGTTAGCTCACACTCTCCCTGTCTATATCTTGTTCACATTTTCAATCGTTAAATAAAATACTTTATATTCATCCACTCGAGTTCAACATACATTTTTTTTGAACTTGTAGTGGATGACACTGGATGTGAATACAGTTTTTTTCAAATATTAATTCAGTAATTAAATTTAATTAATTCCTTTTAGTTTTTTTTTTTTATTTAAGTTGCATATATCTACCCATAGATGGCGCCAGATAAACTTAAAAATATGAATGACAATTATTTAAAAATTTTTTCCAGCGCTTCACTACTGACAGGTATTGATTCCTAAATTTATATCCTGCTAAATATCTTACACAAGAGAAATTTTTTTCTTTCCAATAAAACTAAAATGAAGGAATTAAATTTAATGAATGAATCAATACTTGAAAAAAACTGTATTCACATCCAGTGTCGTCCACTGCAAGTTCAACAAAAATGTATTTGAACTCGAGTGGATGAATAAGAAGTGTTTTATGAATGATTGAAACTTTGAACAAGATATATATAGTGTGAACTAATAGTAGGAATTGAATAATCGCGAAAAACACTCGTCCGTTGGTTCTTTTGCTCATAACGGTGAGTCTTCCTATGAATGGGAGTGATCAGTAGCGGTTCTAAATGGCTTCTGGGATTCGAGAACAGAAGCTGGCTTCTTATTGGCTCCCAGCTCCCAGGCAGGCGTGGTGAAGAAGCGGCACCGCTGCCAATAGGAAGCCGTGATGGGCCGTGCTTCTGCGGTCTGCGTGCGGTCCCTGTCACCGAAGTAAACCTCCCGAGTCGCCACCGTTCGTGATTTACCGTAAATTGGTGGGGGTGCTCGCAATTCGGTGGGTGCTGTCGACTTGTAATTATTATTAGTACTTACGTATTAACGCTACCTTGGCTACAGTTGCGCCAATAAAGAGCAATCTTGTTGTTCGCACGCGCGAGCAATTATCTTTTGAACGCCAACCGCAGCTACAGATTTGGCGGTTTTTAAAATTCTGCTTCCCTCAAACCAGTTGTCTTTTCTAAGTTCCACACGGTAAGCACACTGACTGAAATTGCATTTCCACAACTTACGTTTACCAAAATAAAGTTTCATGTCATGGGAATTGGGACATTTTCGTTGTTTTGGTAAAATATTTCCCTCCTGAAAAAATAAAATTGCATCTTGTTCTGTTTCTGGCAAATCCCAAATACGCATTTTCGTAGCACTACAAAATGGCGTCAAAAATCAGCAAATTTGTAACTGTTAGATTGGCGCCACGTAAAAACCGCCAAATCTGTAGCTGTTAGATTGGCAACACTTAAAAAACGCCAAATCTGTAACCAAGGTAGCGTTAATACGTAAGTACCTTATTATTTTTGGCAATTAGCGAAGCCCCCTTAGAAAGATTAATTTTTGCCCCCTTGTTTTTGTCGTGATGGAAAAAGAGTGCGGTGGTCATCATTTGCAGAGCATTGCATCAGGTAAATAGCCCTTACTAATTATTTTTCAATAATTCCTTCTATTAGCTCACACTCTCCAATCTCAATGTCTAGAACTAGCATATGGAGACGAAGCTCCATCTCGTGCTGTTATATTTAGATGGTTTACAGAATTTCGTAGGGGTCGAAATTCACTGCTGGATCAAGAACACACAGAAAGAACTTCATCAGCTGTAGTTCCAGAAAATGTGTCGGCCATACGAAAATTGTTAGTCGATGATAATCGCTGCACTTACCAAATGATACAGAAGAAACTTAACATTGGATCCGCAGCTATACATAGAATTATTCATGAAGATCTTCATATGAAAAAACTTGTTTGTCGTTGGGTCCCCCATAATTTAACAAAACACCAAAAAACGGAGCGTGTCAGAATCTGCAAAGAAAATCATAAAATTACTTAACAATGGTGGACACCGCCTTATTTCTAAAATCATAATTGGTGATGAGACTTACATACCGTTTTCTGGCGTTCCATCACGACAAGAAAGTAAAGCATGGGTTTTTGAAGAAGACCCCAAACCAACAATGGTGAAAAGACAACGAGCAATGAAAAAGTAATGTATGCGTTTTCTTCAGAAGTACGGGACTGGTCAAAGCCATCAGGCTGGAGGGACAGAAGACAGTCACAGCTAACTGGTTCACCACCAAGTGTCTTACGGAAATTCTTCAAGAAGCGATTGTATGGGGACTCATGCTTCACCATGATAATGCATCTTTTCATACGGCAAGATCGACAGTCGAATTTCTTAAACAAAAACACTTCAAAGTGTTAGAACATCCACCCTATTCTTCTGATCCTGCTATGTGTGACTTTCGGTTTTTTTTTTTAATCTCAAGAAAAATTTACGAGCAACGGGCGTACCGGAGTTCCAAGGTGGTTTTAAGAACCACAATACCTCCACATCTTAATTTAGTTAGAAAATTTGCATAAAATGTTTTTGCTTAAATTATAGAATATTAATAAATAAAAAAGAACAATTTAAAATTTAGGAAAACATCTCTTGCTTGAGAACAATTAAAGCAAGAGATCGAAAAAGCTAAAGCTATAGGTACAATTAGGAGTCCGTTGACGATGCCCCCCAAAAAAAAAAAAAACGATTCAAGATTAAAGTTAAAATTAAAAAATTTGAAAAGCTAAGAATATGATAGGATAAAGTAAATAATAGTAGCAAAACATAATAAAAACATACAAAGTATAATCATCAGTTGATGTTTGACTGGCTCGCCGAAAGATGGCGCCATCAGTCCTTCGGTGAAACATTATTAAAAACCCAGCCGAAGTTGGGAAAAATACATTTTTATTTCATTTAATTTATAGACAATAAGTAGGTGTGGGGTGAAAGAGAACAGTTTAAAATTAATTAATATTAAAACTAAAAATTAACAGTGAGACATTAAATTAAAACAAAACAAAGTTAGGTTCGAAGTTAAACAGTTAAACAGTATACCAAGCTTGATGAAATGTAAACAAAAGCTATGTTCTTTAAGATAAACTAGTAAATTAATTAATAGTGAGCAACAATTAGAAAATTAAAAGTTATTAAAAAGCAAATGATCTATTTATAAATTTACAAACAAAAATTTAAAATTAAAATTAAGAGTCAGATAGCCATGTTCTAAGTTAAGGTGCACATCGTAGCAAATAATTAAGATTTAAATGCCAAAAGTTGCAGCTCAGATTCGCTTGAAGTGATCGGAGTGACTAGACAACAGCCACAGCGGTAGAATCGGAAGCTGCAGAATAAATTCCACAACGCCTTTTCAATGCCGGGAAAGATTCCCAGTGCGTATCATAGAAATCTCTAGGTCTCTTCCTGGAGCTAGCCACACCTGGATGGTATACAGGTATTTGCCTGATCGCTTCGTTACGGATCTGAGGGCATTTTGAACTTTGAGGGACTTTGAAATTTTGAAAATATAGTCCATAATGGTGGTCGACGTTTTCATTCCGTATAAGATGAGATTGATGAGGCTATAAAAGCATATTTTTCATCAATTCCGAGAAATGGATGACGTGAAGCATTTAATCTTTGGAAAAATCGTCTGCAAAAGTGCATTGATGTTGGGGGGGGGGCTGCTTTGAACACTCTTAAAATTTGGTAAGTTAAACTTGCACCATTTAGCCGTATCTCAAAATTTTCAGAGTGACCCTCGTATAATTGTAGTAGGATAAATTTTTAAGTGCTATTTACATTGAAAAAAAAAAAATGTTCAATAACATAAAATTGCAGGAAATTAAAAATATCACATTCTGGAAAAGTTAAAAAATTGTATTCATTTTTTAAAAATTATTTACTCGTAATTTGCAATTAAATTTAAAAAATATTAACTGATATGTAAACAAACGCAATTTCATTTAACTTATGGCAAAATGTTATAGAATAGTTAAAAAAAAAGAAGGACTTGATAGCTGTGTGGTTAGCACTCTGGAGCTCGGTATATGTGTTGGTTTTCGGGTTCGAGTCTCGTCGGTGCCATGGATGTTTGTATTGGTTCGGAATCCACTTTAAACCGTAGGTCCTAGTCTTATAAGATCTACCATTTTCACGAATTGCTCTTCCAAAATAAATGGGCTGATAGTAAAGGGATAATAAAAGGGGGACCAAGTTCAATATCAAAATTTTTAAATATTGTTTCATGGATTTTTTTTTTTTTTTTTTTTTTTGATGCTATTGTTAAGTTATGTTTAAAACATTCGCAAACATGAAAATTAAAACTTTTGTTCTAATGCAGCTGGCAAACACTTAGACAGTTGTCTTGGATGCCTTAACGCAAGCGCTGCACAGACGTTACTCACTTTGCATTACCCTGAAGGCGCGTGTAACTTGAAGATAAGGCACGGACGCGGAGTAACAATGCCCCTCCGCAACGCTCTACGATCCTATTAGACCGGAAACTATGGCTTAAAGTGAATTCCGAATCACTACAAACATCCATGGCACCGCCGGGACCCGAAACCTGTGGTAGCGAGCGCCACTTGGGTATTCAGGCTCCGACATGCATATTAAATACATACAGGCATATTTTTTTGTTAAAATTTGGCTAGAACGGTATTTTTTGACAAAAAAAAAAGTGTATTTTTTTACTTTATGTAGGCACTAGAGGGGCCTGATGGCAGAGTGACTTATGCTCTGGCCTTCGGTGCCACATGTTTCGGGTTCGAGTCCCGATGGTGTCATGGATGGTTGTAGTGGTTCGGAATCCTCTCTAAACTGTAGGGCTGGCAACCCCACACCGTAAAATGCCTCACCCTGGAGCTGTTGTGCCACTGGTGATAACGATTTAACAACAGAACGATTTTCATGCAGTTGGAAAGCAAGTAGTTCTCCTCAAATCAATAATAAGCCGAGTATTTTAACGACGGCACTCAACCCAGAATTTGCGTGGTTGATTATTTTCAGTATGATCAGATATTTATTAAAAGCAAAATACAATTATTTTAAATAAATATTCGTTCTTAAAAATGTCGATGGATGGCACCACGGGTGAATTTAAAAACCCCGCCCACTAAATTAATTCATTTCTTTTTTAAGTTAAAATTTACTATTATCTCATACCCAGATTATCTCATGTGGACTTGCATAATCGTCTACCGCCACTTTTATTAAATATTTACGTAAAGGACTGAAAAACAGGTGACGCGACTGTAACAGTATTAAAGATGAAACTTTCTTAAAGATGACTCTTCAACAAAATGAAATGGAAGAAAATTAAAAATAAATTTAAAAGCGTGAGATGCTCGATATCAATCGTTATAATTTTCACTAGTGTCATTCCGAAATACAGAGTTAATTTTAAAATGTCATACAAAGCACCTCACGCTTTTAGAACAGTGACATTCATTTTTCTCGTCAGTCATTTTATTCTTATTGTTCAGACCGTAACCGTATTTACATTCCTTATGTAATATTTCGTTCTCCGTAAGAGGGTGCTCTTTTGTTTGTCAAGTGTTTTTTGTCATGTATCGTTTCTTAGTTGTGTAATAAATTTCGTACAAGAACGTTGTGCCTCTCTCCTTTTCATCCTCACCAGATGGTCCGTCGGGCAGCAGCAAAATTCCAGCAGACATACTTTAGATGAGTGGGGAGGTCGACGAAAGCGTTCGTACTCAACAATTTCGAATATTTGCTCAACGGTGCTAAAATAACAAAGTGCGTAACGGCGCATAGTGTGCATCGTAACAAAGTGCGTAACGACGCATAGTGTGCATCATAACAAAGTGCGTAACGACACATTGTGTGCATCATAACAAAGTGCGTAACATCGCATCTCATAGCATCGTACTTACATTGCGGAAGGTCACGAAACCACAACATGGAAGATCTTCTAAAACACAAGCGAATTGTCAAAGGTAAGCTAACTCGATTAACTACTAAAGTAGACAATTTACAAAATCAAGAAAATTCTATTTCTGTTATTGAAGTGCATGAAAATAACGTAAATATTTTAGATATTGAAGTAAATAAATTGACAAATGATATTCTTTGTTCTTGTTTAGATAACGAATTTGATAAATATGAACAGGAAATGCATGAACTTTTTTCTAAATTAAATTCATTAAAAATTACGTTAAAAGATGAATTAAAAGAAACTCAGAAAGAATGATAATAGTTCTAATGCATGTCAAAGTAAAGTTAATACTAATGCAAGCAAAACACTTTCCTCTTTCCCTGAGTTCAAAGTTCATATCTTAAATCACAGGTTAGCGAGCGGGGTTAAAGAGAAACCAGATGTTTCTTCTGACGTTAGGGGACCATATATAAAGAGTAAGCAATAATTCTGCGTACTCTACACAGATCGTAGCTAATATTTGCACTTATTGCAAAAGTTCCTCACACTATGGATTATTTAAGTGCGACAGTTTTTTGGAACTCCCTCACAAAGAAAAATGGGATACTGTAAAAAAATTAAAACTATGCAGTAATTGCTTAAGATTCAAATCACATACGATTGATAAATGTCGCGCAAAATTGTGCAAAATCTGTACAAAACTCCACAATACAATTTTATGTTCGAAGGATTCAAATGATTCAAAATCTGATTCTCAAACAGAAAATGAACTTCCTTCAATTAGTAGCAATAATGCAATCGTGCCCGTCAACACAAGCGGTTTTATTGCCTACAGCAATTGTTTATGTCAAAGACATTAATGGCATTTCTCAAAAATGTAAATTACTTATTGATTCAGCCAGTCAAGGCTCATTCATTAGAGAGAGCTGCGTTAATTTATTGCAAGTAAATCGCACTAAAGTAAACATAGTTTCCGGACTCTCTGCTTTAGAATCAATTTTCGGTTGGGTAATTCTCGAAAAGACAAAAAAGGCATTACTCAAACTATTACACCTAATCATGCTAGTTTCAATGCAGTTGAGTTTGAACTTGACAAATTTTGGCAATCAGAAGAAATTTTAGACATAAAGCCTTACACTCAGGAAGAAACAGCTTGTGAAAAGCATTTCATACAGACTTTCTCTCGTGATTCAACAGGCAGATTTTCTGTTAAATTTCCATTTCGTAAATCTAGTAATGAACTCACGAACTTGATTCAAGAAGATTTGTGTCTACCAAATGCTTCTTTGAGCATTGATGATGACACGGTAAACATTGTAGGTATCCTGTGGCACCCAGCCTCAGATGTCTTCTCTTCAAAGTCAACTCATTATTTCTTGAAGGCACCTTAACCAAAAGAACACTACTTTCAACAATCGCAAAGACTTTCGACCCTCTTGGATGGTTGTCACCCATCACAATCCAGAGCAAACTACTCATGCAAAACTGTGGAAATATCAGTTGCAGTGGGATGAAGTCGTTCCTCCAGACATTGCAATTGAATGGAAGACATTATCAAAGGACATACTATTTGTCAAAGACTTCAAAATTTCAAGATACTTATTTCTTGATCCAGACAACCAATTTCAACTGCATGGGCTTAGTGATGCTTCAGAAAAAGCGTATGCAGCAGTAATTTACTGTCGTTCTGTGCCAAATACAGGACAAATCAAAGTTCAACTAGTAATAGCCAAAACTAAAGTTGCACCTCTTAAAACCATTTCACTTCCTCGATTGGAATTGTGTGGGGCACTTCTATTAAGTAAATTGATGGACTTTACTTGTAAAGCATTTGGCATCCCTATATCACAATCTCATTTTCATATGGATTCCACAATCGTACTTGCCTGGATAGGATCCCATTCCAGCCGATGGAAAACTTTCCAAGTGCCAACAGAGTGGCGAAAATCCAGACTTTGTCTTCTCCTACCCAGTGGCATCATGTTAGTGGAAAGGAAAATCCTGCTGATATCGCGACCCGTGGTGTGTCATCTGCAGCACTACTTACCTCATTCTGGTTGTGTGTTCCAGAATTTCTATACAACGAATGTTCTTTCCATCCAGAACTTTGTGTGCCAACATTGAACGAATCTGTGTCGGCATTGAACGATCCTGTGCCTGAAGAAAGGTGTTGTGTACAATCAACTATTGCAGCCAATCATTTAAATTCAAATGATTTATTTCAGAAATATTCATCTCTTTCCAAACTGAAATGTGTACAGCATATTGTTTAAGGTTTGTTAATAATTGCAGAAATTCAAAAATAAGGTAACTGGTTTTTTAAATACTAGTGAACTTACTAATGCTATTAATGTGTTAATCAAATCATTTCAATTTATTGTGTTTAATAATGAGATCAATGCATTAAAAAGAAATCAAGCATTATCTTGCAAAAGTAAAATTCTGTCTCTAAATCCATTTTTGGATAATTCAGGTATTCTCAGGGTGGGCGGTCGCTTGCGACATGCAAATATCGCATACGCCAAAACATACCATCTTACTGCCAAAAAGGCACATTTTAACTGATCTCATTGTCAGATATTATCATGAAATTCTCTTTGCATGCTAGTAGTAGGTGGAGGTTTATAGGAGACGGAAGTACGTCATCAGTGACGTCATCAGAGAAGCGCGCAACCGGAAGTGACGAGAGTCATCTTGTTAGATAAGGGGTTTTTGGTAGATAAGGACCCTAGAAACTTTTTTCCCGGTGGCAACACCGGAATGTTGTACTATAAGAGAGGGGTTTTTGGAGAGATAGGAATTTTACGTGATAAGATAAGCGGAATAGGAAACGGTTTTAATTGATTTCTTCTTAATTTTTTTAATTAGATTATTTTATAAAATGTGTTTAGTAAAGGAATTTATTTGTATTAAATTTGATTATTTTTTTTATTGGAATATTTTACAAATTTATATTATTATACAGAAAAATAATTTTCTATTTGCAAAATTTTTTTTTTTTTTTAATTTTTACTATTTTATTCATTCTCACAAAATATTTTTTTAAAATTGTTTATATTTATTTCAATTTGACTTATTTTTTTTTATTTTACGAAACTGTTTTTTCATAAAGGATTTTATTTTTTATTATTGCCTCTTTCAAATTTATTTTATTTTACCAAACTTATTTTCGTAAAAGAATTTATTTTTTATTTTTTCGGAAAATTAATTTTTTTTTATAAATTTTTAATTCCATTTTTTTTTATTTCGATTGCATTTGTTATATTTTACAAAATTTGTTTTTGTAAAGGAATTTATTTTTTTTTAATTTATAATTTTTCCTAGTGTGTTACTACATTTTTTTATCACTTCATTAGATATTTAATTATCCGAA